ATTCGCTGAAATATTAATTCCAGAAGTCGTACGCTCCCACTGAGGGCTTGTTATTGACTGCTGATAATAGAGGGGGCTACAGAAGGAGCTGATATATGAGGTGTAATTAGTAAAAACACAATGCATCAAGTAGTTTGTTGTGTATCATTAATTAAATAAATTTATTTATTTTTTTATTTTTTTATTACATTAAAGTAATGAATACTTTAATAATGGTATTTTTTTTAATCGTAATTTGATGTTTAATTGTTGAACTGCAGATATTCCTCCATAGACCTTATATCCAAATTAATACACATTGGGGATGAGTATATATTCAAATATTTATGAAAAAAAGGAAAATGGTTGTGTAAAAATATTTAAGCAAACTTAAAATGCCAGAGGATGGGAATTTATACTATAGCTAAGACGTGTCTGATAATGAATATTAATTAGTTTCATGACTGGGCACTCCAGGAAGTTCACTTAGCTAACGTAAACAATATAATTTATTCATGAGATGATTTCATGATCCTTTAGAAATCATTTGCTGATTTGATTCTCAAGAAACTTTTCTTATTATAATCAGTGTTGAACATATATTCAAATGGAGAACAGTGATTTTCAATTGTAACAATATTTTTATAATAATAATGTTTTTACTGCATTTTTATTAAATAAATGCAGCCTTGGTGAGCAGAAAAAAATATTGAACATTAGGTATTCCAAGCTTTTTTTAAGAAGTAAAATATATTTAAGTATATAATTTTATTATTACCTAAATGTGTCTTGTTTTTGTTATTTTTACAGGAAAAACTTTAAGAAAAGAATGTTTTGTAATGAATTGTTTTTATCAAGTAATAGAAAGTTGCACTATATAAAAAAATTTTTTTTACTTGTATTTTGCATTTCTTTTTAGGTTGTCAGTCAAATTAATGGATAATGTCCCGATACTGAGCTGCCAGTACTTTTTCCTGTTATTTTACAGTTTTTTCTTTCTTACAGTGTACAGTTTTTTGTGTGAGTTGACTGCTGATCTTTGCTTTGCCTCCGCAGGTTAACTTCATGTATTGCTGAAATTGACTTAATATGTGCTGCTGCTTTAAAAACGAAACAAATGTGCAACTACCGTACCTCGTCCAATTACAGGAAATATATTTCATTCAAATGCCTGAAAGTAAAAAGTGCGAGCAAGTTTGATTGTGAATTATTCATAGAAAATCACAAACATATGGCGCTGTTTTTCTCACCTTGTGCTCTGGTGTTCTATAGTGTTTTTATCATCTGTCTAATGTACGGCGATTGCCTGAAGGCAGACTCTGTTGTGAGGCCAGATTCAACTTACTCTCTTTAGAGTGTGAGTACTGACTCCTCTACTGTTTTATAGCTTTGTTTAGAGTTGCAATATTAATTTATTGCATTTCCCTGTAGAAGTCTGAATCTCTTGTTAGGGCTTTTGTGCTGTGACTTCGGTAGAGTTGGTTACTGCTAAATTCAATAAGTGATGATTGTGTTGGGAGCACTGCTATAAGGGGGGACAGAAATATGAGCTATATTGTTGAAAGTGTCATATACTGGAAGTTTTATTAGCTCTTGTTTCACCCGAGGTCCCTTTGAAAGCCAAGGGAGAATGCCATTTCTGTTATGCCTTCTACCCATAGAAAAACCATCACAAATAAGATGTCTGATATATCAATTGCATTTCTGAATTAATAGTATTATCATATAAATTAATTGTAATAAAATGTATATTATTTTATTGTGAAGAATAAAAATCAATGTATTGTTAATAAATTAGTTTATTTGGTTGCTTGTTGTTATTTTATAGTAATATAAATACTACTTCTCCAAATAAATAAATAAATAAATATACATTTCAAAATACTAACTTCTCATTGTGGCATAATTAGCAATGCCTGCAATACTGCCTTAAAAAATGACTGATATTTTAAAATTACTTTATTGGGAAGAATAACAATTAGTGCATTATTAATTAATTAATTATATGTATCTATTTTGTCTATTTATTTATGTATTTTATTTTAAAATAACAGAAATGCTAATGATGAAATAAGCAATTAAATCATATTACACTACTAACTTCTCACAGTGGTATAATCGTTAGTTAGACAGATACAACTCTGATATTTTAACCTTATTTTAATTATTAATTATTTTATTATTTTATCAGTTAATTGTTTTATTGGGAAGAATAAATATCGGTGCATTGTTATTAAATTGATTTTACTGGTTATTTAAATTATTTAAAAATAATATAAATACTACTACTACAAATAAATCATAATATAACAACTAACTTCTCAGTGAATAATTGTTAATTAGACAAATATGACTGATATTTTATTGAAGTATATTTTATTTTATGTAAGTCTATTTTATTAAGAAGGTATTATACACACACACACATACAGTATATATATATATATATATATATATA